TTTATTCTTAAGAAATATAAGATCTCAGGGCAAAGCAGCCGAAGTGATTAGGAAACAGATATAAAAAAAGAGGCGGCCGGGAATAAAGTCTTTTGTCTCTGAGTGCTCCTGTTGAAAGTTTGGCAGGTCATGTGTAGATCATATCACAGGAGTACGTAGGAAGGGACATGGCTGGAAGGCCTGGGGTCTAGATAACCCTCACGCAAGCAGCAGCTTTCTCAGCTCTCGGGAATGTGGTCTTCCACCTGCAGCAATACTCACATGGCCTGCTTCCCAGTCTCTCTCCACTCCCCAAGGCCCAGAAAGGAAGAATCCCTTATACTTCTGCTGACCTCATAAGTGGTAGAATGGGATGAAGGAAATTAGCCCTAGGAGGGGGTAACGGGTGGGGAAGGAAGTTCCCTGTTTGTACAACTGTGACTTAGAGTTCAGTTAAATCCATGAAAGAGAATTGGTTAGCAAGACATGTTAACAACCAAATCCCTCCAGGAATCTGAAGGTTGCTATCTGGATCTCACTATGGCCAAAATGAATCCTGCCGTAGCAGATGCATAAGAAAATCCCTACTAATGCATCTAGATGCAGTCACAGCAAACAAGAGGCTTGGGATAGCATCTAACACGTGGTCAGGTGAACCACATCTACACATCAGTTGCCCTGAGCTTGATTTAACTTAACCATGCCCTGTAACATTCCACGTGTTTACTTTCAAAGCAGCTCCTGACCAGTTTCCAAAACAGCAGTCCTTCATTTGATAAGACTACAGCAATCACATCCCCTGAACTCCTTTCCTGCGTTATTTTTATATTTGCTTTGTGGCTGGTCAAAGCTCATCCCACAATTTTCCTATGTATACTGCTCTCTATTTTCCTATTCTAAAACACATTCCCACATAAACCTTCACCCCACTAGCCCCTGTAATAATATTAGCTCTTCTAGAAAGAAAAAGAAAAATAATTTCAGACTTACCTTTAAATTCCTGATTTTTGCCACTTTGCCATCAACTTCCACAATAATTCTTCCCCCTTCTTTGGTCTCACTAGAAACAAGATTCAAACCAGTATTAGAAGAAACACTGAGGGTTTTTTCTTTTTTTTTT